ATTGCATGTTATTGTCCATCACTCTCCCTCAGAGTTGATGCTGGATTTGAACTACCAGATAAGTACCAATCTGGGTTAACATTAAATTAAGGAAATACCAAAATACAGGTCAGAGGCTCAGAGATGTGTTCTTGAGTGATGTTGTTATTTGCTGCCAAGTTGACTGTAACTCATAGACACCTTACGAACAACAGACCTGAACCCTGCCCTAGCCTGTGCCATTTTCATCATCTCTGATATACTTGACCTCATTGCTATAGTCCATGTCAATTAATCTCATTGAGAAACTTCCTCTTATGCTGATCTTTCACCTGTCTAAGCATGATTCCCCTCTCCAAGGACTTGCCCCTTCTCACAACATGCACAAAGTATGTGAGATGAACTTTCATGATCCTTGATTGTAACAAGCACCCTGATTTCATTTTATCTTATAAACAGATCTGTTTATTTTCTTAGCAGTCCATGGATTATTCCGTACTTTTCTCCAGCACCACAACTCAAAGGCATTGTTTCTTCTGTCATCCTTAGTCACTGTCCAACTCTCAGATAAATAGCAAACAATTGAGAAGACTGTAGTTTAGATCAGGAACACCTTGGCCTCTGTTGTTGTTGTTGCTGTTATGTGCCGTTGAGTTGCTTGCGACTCATAGTGACCATATATACAACAGCCCTAAACTCTGCTCTGTCCTTTGCCAATTGCACCATCTCTGACACACCCATCCCGATTACCCCGGTCACTGAATCAATCCACCTCATAGGGGGCCTTCCTCTTCTGTGCTGTCCCTCCACCCTACCAAGCTTGATGTCCCTCTCCAAGGACCTGTCCCTCCTTGCAAGGTGTCCAAAGTATGTTAGACGGAGTCTTAGAATCCTTGCGTCCAAGGAGCAGCCCAGTTTGACCCTTTCCAGGATGAATCTGTTTGTTTTCCTAGCAGTCCATGGTACCCTCAATACTCTACTCCAGCACCACAGCTCAAAGGCATCAATTCTCCTTCTATCCTCCTTAGTCATTGTCCAACTCTCTGATGCATAACAAGTGATAGCAAAGACCCTGGCCTATATCAGATGCACCTTAGTCTCCAAAGAGACATTACTCTTCAGTACTTTGGAGAGGTCCCTTAACAGCAGACTTTTCCATCACAATACGTCTTCTAATTTCCTGGCTCCTAGTGTCGAGAGTGTTGACTGTGGAGCCAAACAAACTGAAACTGTGAACAATCTCAATCTCTTCACCATCCATCCTGATCCTGCAAATTGGTCCAGTGGTGAGAATCTTTGTCTTCTTGACATTGGGCCTCAATCCATATTGGAGGCTGCAGTCCTTGGCCCTCTACAGCAAGCGCTTCAGGTCCTCCTCAGTTTCAGCAAGCAGGGTTGTATCATCTGCATATCGCAAATTGTTGATAGATCTTCCACCAATCTTGACCCCACATTTCTCCTCATAGAGCCGAGCCTCCCGGATAATCGGTTCTGCATACAGGTTGAAAAGGTATGGAGACAGGACACATCCTTGGCATATGACCTTCCCAGTTTTGAACCATGCCTCTAGACTGACATAATTTCCCTTTAGCACTTTGGAGAGAACCTCGACAGATTTTTACAACTCAATTTATTTCCTGACTGCTGGTGTCAATGGTATTGATTGTGAATCTGAGCAAGATAAAATTGTTAAAAATTTCAGTTTTATTCTCATCTATCATGATGCTGCTTATTAGCCTGGTGGTGAGGACCTCTGTTTTCTTGGTGTGGAGATGCAATCCATATTGAAGTCTGTATTCCTTGACCGTCTTCAGCAAATTCTAGTCCTCCTCCGTTTCAGTGAGCAAGATTGTATCATTTGCATAATACAAGTTGATGACTTTTCCTCTATCCCTGGTATCACACATTCTTCTTCATAAAATATAGTCCCTCAAATGATCTGTTTAGCGTATAGACTGAAAATCCATGGAGAAAGAATACATCATTTATGCACTACTTTTTTGACTTTGAGCCATGCAGTATTTCCTTGTTTTGTTTGAACCATAGCCTCTTGATGTAGGTATAGGTTTCACATGAGTACAGTTAAATGTTCTGTGGTTTCTACTATTATCAATATTAGCCACAATTTGCTGTGATCCACATAGTCAAATGCTTTTGCATAATCAATAAAATACAAATGGACATCCTTCTTGTAGGCTGCTTTCCGCCAAGGTCCGTCTGATGTCATGAATCCCTATAGTCATGACCTAATCTAAATCTAGCTTGTACTCAGCAACATTTTGCATACATGTGATAGTAATGATAATGTATTCATGAACAATAGTCAAGAAATTAAAATGCTCATTTTATTTGGCAAATAAGCTGTCAATGACGTCTTTAAAATGCTCAAGAGCATAGAAACCATTGAAATAGCAAGGCATCCATGACCTAAACCATGTTTCAATTCTCATGCATGGGAAATTGAATCAATGAGTTAGAAGAATTAAAAAGACCTGATGCCTTTGGATTCAGACGTTGATGAAGAGAACTGAATATGCCAAGAACTACTGAAAGAATAAACAAAACAGTCTTGGAGGAAATGCAACCAGGATGCTCCTTGGAGGCAAGAATAGTGAAACTTCACCTCACATACTTTGGCCACATTGTCAAGAAGGGCTATTCTTTGGAAAAAAAGATATCATACTTGGGAATGTGAAGGATTAACAACAAAAAATTAAGAACTTCAAGGAAATGAATTTACCCAGTGACTGTGAAAATGGGCTGAGATCATGAAGATTGTACAAGGTTGTGCAAGGTTTTGATTAATTGTTTATAGGGTCATGATAACTTGGATTTGACTTGATAAAGTACCTAACTCCATACTAATGAACTGACTTTAACATAAAGAGAGTTCTGCACTTTGCAGGTGGTCCCTGTGGAATAACAGGGATACTTCTAAGATTTAGAGGAGGGAAAGAGTCAGTATCAATGTACTTTTGAAAAAGAATCAATTGACTGTAACTGGTTTTGAATTTTGAGGGCAAAAGAAGGTCATGAGTGAATTAAGGTAAAGAGGCTATTAAAAGAGGCCAGTAAGCACATTTTTTTGAGAACCTATAGGAATATAGACTTACTGAAACCTTGATGTTACCCCAATGACCTATTCCTGATCTCCAGAAATGTAAGAACACACACACACACACACACACACACACACACACACACACCCTGTTTGGAATGTTGTGAGGAGGGACTAGTCCTTGGAGAGGGACATCATACTTGGGAGACTGGAGGCACAACGCAGGAGAGGAAGACCCTCTATGAGATGTACTGATCCGGGATTGGGATAATGGGGGTAGATGTGTCGGCGACAGTAAGATTGGCATGACATAGAGCAGGGTTTAGGGCTGTTGTATATAGGGTTGCTATGAGTCACAGGTGACTCAACAGCACATAACAACAAACAACAATATACGTATAGTTTTGTCACTAAGCTTACATTAATTTATTATAGCAGCAATAAGAATCAACTAAAACTACTTTCAAATTTAAACTATTAGATGAGTGCTATGGTTTATTTGGATGCCCTAAAGATAAAGCAAAATTCTAACTGAGGCTGCAGAAGCAATTTTATTTGGAAATTAGATCTTTGCAGATATACTTAATTAACACAAGGTCATTAGAGTAGGTCTTAATTTAGAATGACTGATGTGCTTACAATAAAAATATAGGAGATTACCAGGATAAGGACACAAAGACATACAAAGGAAGTTGATGATATGTGGAAGCTAAAAAAAATGGTGGAAGATGTGATTGGAGTGATGAAAGTATAAACTAAAGCACTAAAGAACTCCTGGTAGTGTGGCTACTACAAGGAAGGTAGGGAGTGATATGTCCGGATTCAACCTAGAGCCTCGGAAAGAAAGAGGAAGCAAGGCTCTATTGACTCCTTAATTTTGAACTACAAGCCTCTTAAACTGTGAGGAAATAAATTTCTGTTATTTCAAGTCATCTAGTTTGTCTTACTTGTTAAAGCAATCATAGGAAACATATAACAGTGTCTTTGATTTGTCAAATTGCCTAAGACCTAAAAGCAAAAGAGAATAGAAAAGCTAGTATCTGATCATGGTGATTTCTAATACCAACTAAGACTCACTGAATGGAAATTTCCTACTGTGGGGTTTAAATACATGGCAACAAAAATAAAAATATACTACATTTATGCAAACACTTTAATTTATTCATTAATTTGTATGTTAGACAGCAAAAAAGGAAAAGGGCTATATATAGTAAATTTACTGCTCACCATGTCATACTAAGTTAAAAATGAAGCACAAGAGTGTATTTCATGTTTCTCTTTGTCTAATATAAAACTTAAAGTGAATTTATTCGTTAATCTATATGTTTGAATATGGGCAATGCTCTCTATCTTTTTATCCTCTCCCATATCTCTCTCTCTGGGGGGTTGTGTGTGTATACATGGGTCTAAATGAAATAATTCTGCAAGAATATCTCAGAAACTAGTAACATTGGTACTTTCTGAGTTAGAGGCTAAGAAGACTAAGTATTGACATGGACAGAATTTTTATTCTTTTGGTTATTACTAATTTTGACCATAAATTTTAATATGTAAATTTATGTGTGAATAATATTATTTTTATTTACAGTAATGTAAAGAAAGATAATTTGATGGTAGATGTGGAACTGACCCAAAAGGTCAGTGAAGTAGTACGTGGAGGTACAGACTAAGTTTGCCTTTGTAAATGTTACCAATTTTTAGTGTGTTTGGCCAGATCTAGCCTACTCCATGCTAAATTAACAATTCCTTTTCCTGTGACTATTTTCTTTGTGAGGAAAACTTAATTAATAATTGTTTTAATTCTCTAGGGGTCTACAAAATACCATATAGGTTCCACTAAAATATAATCTAAAAATCTGTAGGATTCCCCATTGAGCATTATATTTTCAAGAAAAGAGCTAGGATTCTTGAGTGCAGACAAATATTTGTTAAATATATATGAAAAGTAACAAGAACAAACAATATTTTATTATGATATTTTATTGTGGGTGTCTGTAAGAAAAAGATCAACAACCACATACAAGCTTACAAAGTCAAATTTCAACACATTCTCCATGTTACTGTGACAAAAGCAGCCTCATCATTTGTTTGGTTTTGTTGTTGACTTTTACAGAAAAAGGGTGAGAGTTCCCTGGCATGGTATGCCAATTAAAACTTTTTGACAGGAGACAAGTACAGATGTTGTGAACTTATTTTTCAATGTAAGTCACTATTTATGACCTAGAGTTCTAAAAGTGAAAATACATTAGCACCATAACATGTTTTTAAAGTCTCAAATGTTGGTAACCTTGACCAGCAATTACAGAAATCTAGAGAAGCACCTTTGAAAGCATTTGCTATCCAATATTAAAAGAATTGTGGCTTTCAACTAGTTCTTTGAATTCTTGCACTACTCTCTTTTTTCTCCTACCATTATTTCAGGAAACTCACAAGTTTGCCAACTTATGCAAATTGTTTGCTCTTCTGGAATTCAGAATTCATCTGTGCTTCTGACCTGGTTGAGGTAGTTGAAACAGGGAGGTCTTTCCTAATTTTGTGCTTGACTATTCAGAAAGAATGATTATTTTTTTTTATTGGTGAGCATAATCATTGCTCTGTAGGTGGGCTAGGATTCAAACAATATAACACAGTGTTATTGTAAGAGTGTTGAAGTTTATTTAAAATAGCACCATTGAGACATTTGGAAATTGGAATTGGTAAAAAAATAGAACACAAAACATTTGAATTGTATTTGGTGTAACAGAAAAAAAATATTTTTTTTTCAAATTATACTTTTTCCAAAAATTTTGGAAATAAATAACTGGAATTTAGTTGGTCACTTGTACTGGTTGACATGATTAAAACAAGAGGAAAATGGAGTGTGATTTTTTTTCTGGGTTTTCAGATACAGTTTAGTTTATAAAAAGCAAACAGGCCCAACGTCCACACCAAACTCTTGATCAGGACCACCAATATCGTAGGGAGCAATGTCAATAATAGGTAGTCTCACAGCCTTGCGTGTTCGGTACTCGAAGACTGTTTTGCCCCATTCCCCAGTGTGTTTCTGCAAAAAAAAAAAAAAAAAAAAAGGGAGAATTTATTACATTACAATTACTTAGAGAATTCCACTGACTTAGCAAGTTTATTTTTGTCTTCTGGTTTTTGTTTTGTTTTAAATGCTATCTAAGAGGATTTGTCACCTAGACCTTGTAATATATTTAAACTCACCAGAGTAATCACCATCCACAAAACCATTTTTTGAGGGCTTGAATCTGGCCTATTTACTAAAAAATACATTATTCACAATGGAATTTTCAATATCGGAAGTAAGTATTCCCTCTGCTCATAAATAACAGAATTCTGTTGTGAAACTCTAAAATGAAATGTAATTTTTTTTAAATGTAATTTTAACCAGTTTAAATTTTTACCTAATTTAGGATTTTTTTCTAAAAGTCAAACAAATTTTAGATGACATCTACCAAGATTGCTTGACAGCACTTATGGATTTAAATGTCAATAATTTTCATTTCAGGTGGTGGTCATGTGGAGGTAGGTCCAGACAGGTGAAAAAGATATATACTAAATCAGAAATAACAACAGTATGATTTCAACAAAAAGTTATTTTGAATAATTAAATAAAAAGTTAAGAACTCAATTCAAAATCATAATTATTAGTTATTTAGATGCTTTCTTTGACATAATTTGCATAAGCTTTTACTCCTTATTAATTCTAAGTTAAAATATAAATTATTTCAAAGAATATTTTTTTTCTGTCTTAAGCAATTATCCTTATTGCTATTCACCTAATACAGTTACCTTTTTTCCTGCCTTCCCTGACTCCGTGCTCATCACCTTTTATTCATACAGGAGGTAATAAGCAAGAACTCTTTACTCTTGATAAAATTAATTACTCATAAAGAGATACTGGATATCTATGTCTTCTATATTTTCAAGTTCTCTTATATGTGGATGAATTTCTTACAAAAAAAGAATAAAGGTAACTCCTAAGAAAAGAAAATTCCTGACTCTGGTCTTCCAAAATATCCAGAGAGGACACAAATGATTGCAATTGGGTTTTCTTAACTTTAAAAAAACTGGATGAAATTTTTATTTATATCTTGAAACACCATATAAAGTTCGCATCAGACTTCTAGAGAATCTGTGAATGATAAAAATTCAAGGTCCATATTTCAGTGTTTTGCACAGTATTTTATATTTTATATAACAAAACAATTGATACTTCATAAATTCAAACTCATTGCTTTCAAGTTTGAATTGATTCACAACTAACACTTCAGTGGATTTTCAAAGCTGCAAATGATACTGGAAGAGATTGTTCATCTTTCTGCTTTGGCCCTGAAAGTGGATTAGAGAGGCGCTGTCTTTCCTTAACAGTGAAGAAACTCCCTATTGTTGATCATTCACATCAAGTGCCACCTCTTTTTTTTTACTTTTTACTCATTTATTTCTTTAAGTTATGCAAACAAGCCATAACTTTACTTTGATTCACCCTTTTCATTTCATTTCTTTTTTTCAAAATACTTGGTATGATTAAACTAGAAATGTTGAATTGATTACAAAATGTTGGTAAAAATGTAGTTACTTACAGTGCAACCATCTTCCAGAACTGTGTATGTGAATTTGCTGTTTCCTTCAGGCTTGAATTCCCCATCATTTGACCCCATTAGCTTCAGGGCTTTCTTTACATTTCCAGTGGCCTGATCCAGGTATGCAATGCTATTTTTGCAGTGATATGTGATGTTCTGGGAGGCCCGGCTGGAGAGAAGTCGGAGGAATGCAAGCTGGACATCGAGTATATCTTCAGGAAGTTCAGGGTTGCCATAGCTAAACTGTGGTAGGGAAGAAATAAAACACATCACATCATTTGGTTGTAACAGCACATAGGGGATTCAAGTGGTATTGGTTATGATCATTGTAACATAGATTGCTCAGATACATTTTGTATGAATATTTTATGTATAGATATGTTTAAATTACATACACAACCTATAATATTAAAGTAGAAAGGCTTTAGGAATCGCAAGAAAAGTGTTTGAAAACAAAGTTGAATTTAATCTACTAAACTCTTAACAGCAGTTGCTATTGTTGTTGTTAGGTTCCATCGAGTTAGAACCAACTCACAGCTGACCCTCCCATGGGTTTTCAGGAGTAAATAACACAGGATATTGTTCCTCTTCTACAGACAGTTGTGGATTTTCAATGCCTACTTTTGAGTTATCACTTCAGCTCCTTAATACTAGGCCACCAGTTTCCTCTTAATAACAGATAAGTTACTCTCTTCCCCTGAATACGTAGGATCCTATGGATCTTTTATTTATTAATTAATGTAGTTTTTGGATAAGCAAACAGAAGGAGTGAAGTCAGTCAGTTTTCATTGTTGATATGTGCTGTCAAACTGGAATAGATCCATAGCTGACCCTCCAGCCTGTTTTCAGAGGTAGTTACCATAAGAGAGGAGATTACCTACTCTTAGTTGAAAGTGGCATGTTATTTCTCACCTGAAAGCCTCCTGCCATAGACTCTCCAAACCAAACGTGTTTCTTCTCAGCACTAGAATCAGTCCACCAGTTCTTGCGTGGAACTTGCCATGGATTGGCATTGATGCATGTTTCCCCAGTTTCCATATTACAGAACACTTTGATGGCATCCAGCTTGCACCCTTGATTAGGATCAACCCAATATTCTCCTGAATTATCACAAAGAAAGACAAGGAAAATTCGTTTTAACAGCCAGTAATAAAACTTTCATCAGGATAACTTTGTTTACTTAGTAAGGACCCAGGCTGATTATAAATATATTTGTTTTTTATAGTGTATCATTACATAGAAATGGGCTTGTTTTGATGAACTGGATGAGGAAGAAATACTAATTATAATAACTAAAAAATCCCCCCAAAATAAAAACTGATGTTATGCCATTGGACAATATTGATATGTTAAACCAAAATATCACAAATTATATACTATTTTTGTTTTTTGTTAAAAATGGCCCATTAAATATTATTTAAATTGTATGTTTTCTAATCCAAATTTATTTTAAAAGGCTAAACCATAATTCTTTTATATTACACATTATTCCTTATCTTAATTTGAGAATTTACTCTCAGAAAAGGCAATATTTCTTGTTAAAGCATTTGAAAGTTATAAATAATCTTGCCTTTCAAATAGAATTAAATCAATACATTTGAACTTCCAGGCTATTGCATGATTTTACATAGTCCTATGCAATATTCTGGAATTTCTCATTCAACTATTTTTTAACTTATAAAATGTCATTTTGGAACAAACTTTCAATGGTAAAATAGGTTAGCATTAAATAACCTAAGTAAACCTGAGGAAAAATATCCATGAGGTTGTTTTATTAATCAACTTTATGATGATCCTCAGAGGTACACTAAACTGTAAATTGCATTAACATGGCAACAAAACTGTGTTTAATCTTAACAATATTTACAGAATTTTCAGCTAGTTATGCCACATTTTAAATACACTCATAAAGTTTATTCTTTTCCTTATGATATCAAGACATTTCAAAACAATGAATACATTTTCAGTATTGTTTCTTCTAAAATATTTTCCACTCACACATTAAAAGCTTTCTCTCCCCCAAATTATAATATAAGACACTTCTCTGTAATTCTACTGTGATGAACATAAAAGACTTGCAACATACCACTCTTGAGTTCAGGATGACAGAATTTCAGGTCTCTGCAATTTCGAGCAGGGTTTTTACGAGAACCATCTGGGCTAATGAGGTTTTCTAATTGCCCATTAACTGATTTGAGTGAAGACATAATCTCTTCAGTGTTGATTCTGGCATCTGTTGGTTCATCTCCATAATATGGGGCAAAACCACCAGCCTTTTCACCTCCACCACCAGAGAAGGCAGCAGCTCCACCACAGCATGGACCAGGAGCACCAGCAGGTCCAGGAGGGCCTGGTGGGCCTGGGTGGCCAGGGGAACCCTAGGAATAGTAAGAACATGTGTCACTGAGGTGTATGTGTTTTGTCTCCACCAAAAGGACATATTCTTCATTCAAGAAAACGCATAAAGCATAAAGTGAACATAGTTGTGTGGAACTCTTATTTGATTGCTATGCAATCAAATGTTAAATAATATATAACAATCACCATGAAATTAAATATGTTCTATATAAAATAAGAGATGTGAGAAAACAAATGTTATGCATCATGGTTTGTTATAGCTATATCTATCATCTATCTATCTATCTATCTATCCTCTACATCTATCTATCCTCTACATCTATCTATCTATCTATCTATCTATCTATCTATCTATTTATCTATCTATCATCTATCTATCTATCTATCTATCTATCTATCTATCTATCTATCTATATCTATCTATTATCTATCTATCTATCTATCTATCTATCTATCTATCTATCTATCTATCTATCAATCATCTATCTCCTCAAGAAGCACACTTCAAATGCTGCCCTGACACAGAGGATAACAGGAAATACAGATTCTGACACCAGAATCCAGCTCTGTATCTTTGGGTTGTTCATTTCACTTGTTGCTTAAATTGCCAAATGTGTAACTTGGGAAATGGATTTTATTTAATTTACCACACAGGATAGGATAGGAAAGTATATTATCAATAGCATAGTAGTAATCATGAATACTATTTCAAAAGTCAGACACCGGAAATACAAAGTGTTCTGATTCTCATTCTAGCTCTAGAAGACTTCTGCTGTAAGATTATGGTTGACATAGTTAATTTGGTTAATTTAAAACACATTGTTCTTACCCAAAAGGATTTAATTTTTAGTATTAAGTAATATAAAGTTTTCTAAAAGAAATTTTCCCCCATCTATTGTCATAGAAAATCATAATGTGGTTATTGTTTATTCTCTACATCATATCAGATTATTTCTTTATGTGGAATTCACCTTCTTGGTTTTAGAATACTTCAAAGTGTTTCTGAGTATTTGGATAATATAGAAATTGAACTAGAAATAGTTAGGTATGTATAAGTGATATCTTACCTCTGATCCTCTTTCACCCCTATTACCCCGAGGTCCTGGTGGACCAATGGGGCCTGGATGTCCACTTGTTCCATCTTTGCCAGGGGGTCCACTGGGTCCTACAGGCCCCTATGAGATTATCATAATATCACAGTGTTAAAATATCTTCCTCAGTGCAAACATGTTTAGAAAGGTAAATGTTGTAATATTTTCTGTGATACTTACTCTGGGGCCTGCAGGTCCTGGACTACCAATTGCACCTTGGTGACCAGCAGGGCCCTAGAAAGAAAAGATGATGAATATGAATGAAAATTTCTAAGAAGTTAAAGAAATTATCCATTCCATATTTAAGCAAGAAACATAAGAACAATGACAAAATATGGTTTTCTTTTTTCCTCAGCTTCCTCATTCTCATGAAAATGGTGATTTCAAATAAGCCCTCTATTTCACTTCTTATATTTTTTAGCATATATGAATCAGTCAAACTCACTTACTGTGATTCGGAATTGACTCATAGCTGAGCCAGCAGTATATTTTTGCACGGTTATAATTCATACAGAAGGAGATTTCCCATCTTTCTCCCATTGAAGTCCTGGGAGATTTAACTACCAGAAAGACACAGCCTTTGGGCTAGCAGCACAAATCTCTAAGGATGCTATTAGAGCTTTTTCATATATAGTTAGAGGTGAAATATTTCTAATGTATCTACAATTTTTGTAATATATATATTCTTTATAAATATAATTTCTTTGGTCATCAGTTGAAATTGCTCAATGAATCTAATTGCCTCACGCATTAGTTGCAATGCATTGAAGGGGGTTTTCTGACATAATAGAAGCACTTACTGGAGAACCTGGAGCACCTGGATTACCAGGGAATCCTCGATGTCCTTTGATGCCATTAGAACCGCGTTCACCTGTTTCACCTTTATCACCACGTGGACCTTGAGGACCCTTTAAAAATATGTTTTATATTGAAGTCATGCATTTGAATATGCAAGGGAAAATTAAAACATAAAGGGTGAAAAATTAAATCAGATATTTCAAATATGGAACAATAAACATTATTTTGTAGTTGTTTGATTTTTGACTGAAAATAGCATGGGACAATGGTAAATAATATGTATATACTTATCAAAATGAATTTTTATAATTACTTTCTGTATTGTCAAGCTAAATTTAAATGCTCTTTTGTAGCCATGGATTGGGTCAGTGCTTGTTTATTAACATGTGAGAAAATAGAAAAACTTACAGGAGCACCTCGAGCACCAGCAGGACCTGGAGCACCAGATGGGCCAGCAGGGCCCTAAAGTGAAAACAAATAAACAAAATTACAAACTCGTATAGAAGGATTTCCTTATTGACCACATTTTGTTGTTAAAGGTTAGTAATTTAACTGTGATGGACTACAATAGTATTCAAACTATTTTGGAAATTAAGATTCTTATTTCTTCACAGCTCTTTACATATCTATAAATTTTCTAAAAGTCTAAATTATATAATATAAGTAAATGTCCTGTTCATGCAGGCTTGTAATATGTTAATAGAAAATTGACCTAATTAATAATATTTTGGATTAAAGCTTTAACTTATATTCTTCATTACTACAGTTGCTTGTAACTTTTTACTGGTAAATAACTAAAACAAATGATGGCTGAACATTTATTAACATAGCTGACATGGCATCTTCTGCCTATAAATCTCTTTACTGAAAGAGAAAACAATTTAATGGAGGCTATATATTGGCTATATATATGCTATAGATATAGATATAGAAATGTAGAGACGATAGAGCTAGAGCTAGATAGACATAGATATTAGAACTCACAGTTTCTCCTCGATCACCACTCTTTCCAGCTGGACCAACAGGACCAGGTGGGCCTGGATGGCCGGGAGAACCAGGGGCACCAGGGGACCCATTTTCACCACGATCACCCTGTGAGAAAATGCACAGATGTGAAATAAGTCTGATGAGCAGTGATTGTTTCCACACCACAAACCTATTATACATATGCCATACCTTGGTGCCAGGAGATCCATCTCGACCTGGAAGACCATCAGATCCAGGATTTCCCTGATAAAAAAATGTGAAAAGAAATAAACTCATGCATTCTTAATGGAGGCAAAAATGATATCAAAAGGGGAAAAGATTTTAGTTGTTAGGGGGTGAAAATGTTTAGACATTACAACATCATCCTAAAATTTCATAGGTAAGGAAATGTAATTAGGAAATGGGTCTACTGGGTTTCTTGGTAAGAAAAAAATGAATACAATTTTAGAAATTGTCAACTAAACTGTTAATTTTTGTTGCTATGCACCTTCAAGGTGGAACAGACTCATAATTGACCCTCCAGTGGGTTTTCAGAAGCAGTAAAGCACATGGGAGAAAATTGCTCATCTTTCTTTCACAGAGCAGCTTGTGGTTTTGAACTGTATGCCTTTGGCTAGGAAGCACAACGCCTTACTATTAGACCACCAGATCTCCCTGGGAATCTAAGGAAGGACAAACCCCAGAAAATGTTCAGAGTATTTCCACTCAAAGGAAATAAATTGGGGATCTCCCTATCATTTTTTTCCTTATTTATTTGAGATTATTGTATTCTCTCTAGTAAATGTTCATTCATTAAGTAAATATTATTAAACATTAGTTTAATAGAATCCAATTTCAATTAGAAAAAATATTATTATAGAAGGAAGGCGAACTTTGACTTTGTTGAATATATTTAGAACTTAACTAAAGAAGGCCTTACTTGGCCTTTTATTAAATAAATGACTAAATTCTATCTGGCTGGTTATAATTCTTGTGCATTGTAACTTACATCTCTTCCAGGTTCGCCTGCTGTACCGGCCAGACCAGGAAGACCCTGGGGTCCAGGAGGACCACGTTCTCCATTGTGACCACTAGGTCCTGGTTTCCCGCTTTCACCCTGTGTACAAAGACATTAGGTATATAAGATATAGTTAAGAAGCAAATTTGTGTGGTAATATGTATGCCTAATTTTCCAGAAAGGGGAGGGGGAGATCTAATTCTATCTATGTTGAATTTGCTCCTAAAACTATTACCATTGTAGTAGGAAAATCTTTAGAGAAGCAAACTTCTTGCATTTTCCAACTGGAATTTTGGGAAACAAGATCTGAACAATAACATTTATTATCTGATTTTGAATACAGTCTAATAGGAGAGGTCTAAATCAACATTTTTAACAGTAGACTTTGTTAAAAAAAAAAGAGGGGGTCGCTTTCATGCAACTGTAAGTTGATTGTACCCATTAGAATTAGGCTTCGTTAAATTTGTGGCTCATTCTGAAGAAACATACATTTACAAAGTTTGTCCACATAAGCTTAATACTTAGTAATGCTAAATCTTAATTTTTACAAAACTGACATTTTGTCAAAACAGGTGGTCTTTATGAAAATGTTAGCTTAAATAAAAATATGATTTTATTACTTTTCTTGATAAATATTTAAGATGCTAAACTATGATTTTATAGTCATATTAGTTAAGAAAATCATGAGCATAAAATGACTTGTGTTGATGGGTAAGTGGAATCAATTAAAATCATTTGTAGATAATATACTACACGTTGATGGCATCAAAAGCCAACAAGTTGACGAATGTGGATTTGTTATATTTAAAATTAATTGTTATATTTAAAAATTAATTGTTATATTTAAAATTAATTGAAGATGCACACTGTTTTCACACTATGGAACTATTTAATAACATGTTGCTTTCTGAAAAAATGATAGCACCATTTGAATATGTAATTGAATAATCTACATCTATCAGAGGAAAACTTGCAATTCTATACTTAATGTGATTAAATTATCTCCAAAGGTCATCACTTACCTTGATGCCCTGTGGGCCGGGGCTTCCCCTTGCACCTGGCATGCCTGGTGGTCCGGCAAGACCTCGTGCTCCAGTAATCCCTGCAAGTCCAAGTGGGCCTGGAGATCCCTATAGTGATAGAAAATGATAGAGTGGTTCTTCTTGACACAGCTATACTTTCTTCTGCAGAGTTTGTGATTGAAACAAATAGTATTAACTAGCGAAACTACTCACCGGTGGCCCTTGGGCGCCAGGTGGTCCCTTCTCTCCTGGTTGACCAGCATCACCTTTTGGTCCAGACACCCCAGGGTTGCCAGGAGCACCATTGTTACCAGGAGGACCTGGAGGTCCATCCTTGCCTGGAGCACCACTATTGCCAGGAGGTCCTGGGTTACCCTACAAATAATTGTTTAAAATTAGAGTATTCTGAAATTAAAAGGTGATTTTTTTCTTTTACTTCTTACCTACTAACACATAATTTAATTAGAAATTTATTGACATGATAGGAATTAATGTATAAATTTCTTCTCACATATATAATGAATGTTCTTTCCAGAACATATTATCTTAAAAATTGTTTAAAATCACTTACACTATTACCAGGAGGACCAGGAGGACCACGACCACCAGGAAAGCCAGCAGCACCCTGTGAAACAAGACATTTTTTAAAAATAATTTTACAAGTAGAACAAGTAACTACCAACTAAATATAATAATATGATAACATGTTTCATTTTTTCTAGTTTATATACAAATTTGCTTTCTTACACTTATAAAAGTAGCTTATGCCTAAGTGTTTGTCACTTATACTCTCTATGACTGTAATGTCTTTAAAGTTGTATGTATGCAGCTAGATATCAATTTAACTCTTTTCAACAGCATTTTAAGATGATACTTACAGGGCCACCAGGACTGCCACGTTCACCTTTGGTTCCTTGAGGACCTGGAGGGCCCTATATGAAATGTGAGGAGAAATAAGGTTCAATAAAAATAGCACCAAAAAACCCCCCATATATGAAGTTTGAAACCCTTGAGAATTAATAAGTTTTCAAAGATAAAAACAACTTGAGGTAGGTCCTATCTAGACATTTGTAATGAAGATGCAAACTCAAAAAATTGTACCTTTACCACTATGACAAGAGGTTCCGGAATGAAACCTTAAGTTATTGATAATCTAGTGATTTAGTAAGGAATTGTGCTGCCACCCCAAAGGTACACAGTTCATATCCATCACTAGGTGCTTCAGGGAGAGATGGGCAATCTCCTCCCATGAGGTTTGCTATATTAGTGGGTTGTGACTCATTGGTACACAATAACAGCAAAGGGCCTGTTATAAGACTTAAAGAAAGGGAGAATACTTACAGCAGGCCCAGAACCTCCAGGGGGTCCAGCAACACCAGGGGGACCTCCTTCTCCTTTCTCACCAGGGGCTCCTCTTTCTCCTTTAGCACCAGGCTCACCATTCTGACCCTACATTCCAAAGCAACATCATCCTCTGAGTTGACAACCTTTACAATGCATTTGCCTTATCCTTGTTGTTCTTGACATAGAATGCTTGGGATACATGACCATTGAAATAATAGAAGAAAAGATTTTCTGAAGACATAGCACCATAAAGTTAATCAGTATACTTGCCGGATAAATGTAAACTACTAATAAAATGTAAGCTGGATACTTTTTTTGTTTGTTTGTTTCAGGAAGAAAATATCTACAAAGTTAATTCATTTAAAATTAAAACAAAATAAAAGCCATTTCTGTCCAGTAGATGCTGACTCATGGTAACTCCATGTCTATCAGTGTGGAACTATGCTGCTAGGGTTTGTGCTGGTAAATTAATTGTAAAAATATATTTTATTTCTATGATGATTTTTTTAGACTAATTTAATAAACAGACATTTTTTCCTCCACTTTTTCAAGAAGAAGAATAGAGGTAAAGAAATTAAATAATTTCACAGAGAATGAGTGGCTAAACTGGAGGTAGGAATAGAACTCAAATTTGACTAAGAACTTTCATTTTTAAAGCAAGGCACTAATTGTGGATTGCGTAACATACATGTTTTGACGTTCATACTTACAGGAGCACCAGGGAAGCCAGCAGGTCCTGGGGGGCCTTGTTCACCTCTCTCACCCTACAAGGGAAAATATCATTGTTAGTCATAGTAAGCCCACATCATATCCCATATAATCTTATCTTTTCCTTTAATCAGGAAATGTGCAAAGCTAACATAATATAACCTGTAAAAACATTTCCATTGATGACAAAATTTGGAGTTGAAAATTTAGAGCTATATTCCTTATACCTCTAACTATAAAAAAATATTTTGCCAATTTTGAAATGTTCAAAACATTTAATTATATAACTTCTAAAAATATAAATGTTTTGGAATAAAAGAGAGTTCATTGAAAATTCTATCCCGAGTTTCAAAGCTCTGAAAATAGAGAATTTTAAGCAGGCAAAGATCAAATGAACTTAAAAACCCACTAGTTTACAAATGTATATTGCTTGTACAATTTGAATTTACATTTAATGGAACTACATGGACAAGAAGGGATGGTTTAAATTTTTCCTGCTGAATTTAGAGTAAAAAAAAAAATCTTTCTTTGCATGCCATATGGTCTCTAAAGACAATATCCATGAATTGAAAGAGAAAAATTCAAGTAATTGCTGCCATTGTGGGTTTAAAGAGTTTATGGGGAAAATACCACTTACAGAGCCACCACGAGGTCCGACTGGACCTGGAAGTCCAGGAGCACCACCTTCACCCTGAAAAGAGAGAATGAGAGAATAATATTATAATTGACTGGCATCCAAAACCCCAAGGCATTTTCTTTCCATTTCTATGTAGTCATAAGTAATACCTTATCTCCATTCTGTCCAGGGGGGCCAGGGGGGCCAATGGGACCAACAGGACCCTAAAGAAAATAGAAATATAGTTTTTGTTTTGAAGATAAAGAACATACTTTTTCACATTAATAAAATATAAAATAGAAAAAATAAATTCTATCTATTCTATCTATTTAGTATATTCTAAATAGGTAACTTTCTTTCATAGCTTGAACAATATATTCTGCATTTAGAGAATAAAAAATATAAACTTGGTCAATATAAAAGTCTATAGTGATGACTCTAAAAGACTATGGAATTCAGTAGCAATTTATTGATATATTTTTCTATTACATAATATGAGATATAAAGCATTGCAGTAACATCTTTTAAAAATTAAACACAGCTTCATTCCACTGCTGGTAAGTTTTTAAATTGTTCAACAATTAATAAACATATCACAATGTAGGCATATTTTCAGTATTAAGGTTTGACTTATTACCTTATAGAGAAAGTATTTGTCTTATTTTTCTTTTTTTTTTTTAGCTAGAATAATAACTTACCTATCAAGCCTGTTAGAACTACTGAGCAATTTATCAAAGGCAATTTCAGTCAATATATTATTTATGAAACAGCTTTATTATCAAGTTTGCTTGCTGTAGTCATACTGAGAAGTTGCATAGTAGTATCAATGGTAGTGCTTAAAATGTACTTTGGTTTGATTTTTACATTTTGTTTAGTAGTAACTATAGATTAAAATTAGGTTGCAAAGAAATACACAGAGGAACCATAAGAAGTCCTGTGTACCTTTCCTCCAACCTCCTTTCATGTTATTATCTTATGTAATTTTAGTACAAACAGTATCAAGAAACTGGCAATGGTATGACCTATTCAATTTCTTCAGATTTCACCATTTATACATATGTGTGTGTTTTGTACTCCTAGACATTCTTATATAAAGATTTACATAACCATCACCACAACCAGATGCTTATGTTTATAACCATCACAAGCATTTTTTTGTTTCAGAAGTTTCTAATCAATTTCTAGCCAATTTCCTTCCTTCTTTAAACTCTAGCAATCACTAATCTGTCAACATCTAAATGATATAATTTCACAAATATTAAAGGAATAGAAGAATAACACAATATGCATTAAAAATTGAATTTTTCCTTATCACAATTACTTGAAGGTTCTTACAGTTATTGTATGTATAAATTATATATTTACTTGTATTGCTCAATTCTATTTCCTAGTTTGAATATACCACAACACAACAGTGCCATTGAAAGGAAACTATTTCCTCATGTGGAGGATTAACAATCTTAAATTTCACTAACTCATTATTTTATCTTGTAATCTTTATTCTGTTTTGAGATCCCCCCCATCCATAAGTCCTCAAACTATCAGATAGTGAGAGACACAAAATAGACAATACAACAAGACATATGTGACTTTTTAATACTCAAAAATGGTAAAATTGTGACCTACTTTACCAGGAGATTTAAAATAAAAACAAAAAGCAAATTATGTATGGTCCCATTTAACACACAGATAAAGCTTATTTCTCTCCAATGCAAGTGTGTGAATACTCACCCTTGGACCATCTTTTCCTGCAGCACCATCAGCACCTGAGCTGCCTGGTTCACCCTGCCAAATAAAGACAATGTAATAAGATCGTGTTTTTGTGTGCAATTGAGTTGATTTTGAATCAAGGTAATGCTGTGTGTCAGGAGAGCTTTCCCATAAGGTTCCCTAGGCTATAAACTTTATGGGGGGGGGGAGGGATTGACACTTTTCTCCTTCCTCCTTTGGAGTTCCTTGACAGGTTTAAGCTTTCAACCTTTCTCTTAGCAGCTCAAAATTTACCCATTGTTCCATCAGGATTCCTATAAAATGTTGTTGTTATGTGCCATAAATGAGCAACACTTAAAGTTTGCTGTGATGCATAAAAGATTACAGAGCATTAAAAGATAACACTAATTTTGAAAACAGATGACTTTCCAGTAGAATTGTTTTCCTTTATAATACAAAAAAAAACCAAAACACAACACAAGTCAGTACCTTATCACCCTTTGGGCCTGGACCACCAGGACCTCCTCTTTCTCCAGGCATCCCTTGTAGACCAGGAGAACCAGCATTACCAGGTGGCCCAGGGGGTCCAGGAGCACCCTGAAAACAGAGGAGAAATATTAAGTCACAGGAACAGAATACAATGCTGACTGGAAAATTTAGATGAGTTGAATTCCGTGATATTACCTTTCCTCCATCAGGCCCAGGTGGGCCAGGGGTGCCTCTAGTTCCTGGAGGCCCCGCTAATCCAGGAGCGCCACGTTCACCTGGGGGACCAGCATCACCCTGTAGTATGAAAATTTAATAACCATGTTAGAAAAAGCAAAGGATTAATCCAAAACAGCACAGAACTTCTATTTTGATGAGGACAACTTGTCTTCCATGTTTATCTTTTAATCCTTCAGAAGTTTCTACAATTGTCAGAAAACATTTGACCATTCATTGAAAATAAATAATTTAGAAGAATGAGCCTAATCACAATCACTTTGATACTTGATCTTCCTAAGTAAGAACTTTCTAAATTTTTTTAACTGGTTTGCATAGAATAATTTATTTATATTGTGTTTTATTCATGTATAGTAAGAGCTATCTTTTGAGAGTTTATTATTATTATTTTGTTCACAAGAGTAAATTTTTCAATTTCTCTTAACAAAACAGACTTCTTTTATAGAGTTAATATACTGTATCATTCTGCTAGAAATTTCAGATCCACAATTACTCTCTGATGTTTATTATGTCACGGAATTGGATTTTCCAGATGAAGCAAATGCAATGAATTGGAAATATATTAAGATTTCTTACGTGTATTTACCCAACATTTGAAATGTTGGTTTTCTAAACCGAGAATTTTGGTTTGATTAAAAGAAGTATATGTTATTAATTAAATTTTTCATATCATGCTGAATAAACTATGGAATAGAACGAGATATCTACCTTTCCGCCTGGAGTTCCAGGAGAGCCAACATCACCCTTTGGACCCTAAAAAAAGGACATTATATGATTATGTTATGAAACTATAAACACAGTGCATTTTTCTTCTGTTTACATATTGCACAACTTGTCATTTCTTAGAGATGTATCTTCATTTCCTTTTATTTTGTGATTAAATTTAAAGTATATAATAGTACTGTTTTAATATTTTTATTTGTTTTTTAAGCTTTATTTTTTTAAAATAATTTTAATGAGCATTTACAGAGATTTTGGATTTCCATTTATTCATTGCTGCACTAATATTTTTATTTGTTTTAGTAAAGAATATTTCAATTCTGAAGTTAATTCTCTTTGCATGGCAAGATAAAATGTAAAAGTTAATCATTGATAAATGTTTACTTTTCATTTTCTGGTCACTGAGTTTTGAAAAAGGACATGCAACTTACTGCTTCACCAGGTTTTCCATTTTCTCCTGGAGGACCACTAGTACCAGGCAAGCCCTGAAAAAATCACATTTATACTAAATAATCACCTCAAACATTGCTTACAGGAGAAAGCTGCTTTGAAGTAAACATGTTCCCACAATTTATTTTTATAAAATTATTGTAGTAGTCCTTTCAAGGGTAGAAAATTTGTGCTGTTCAAATTCCAATGAAAGAGAAATGATAACCACATTTTATAATTCTATGTTCATCTCTGTCCTATTGCGGTGCATATAAAAACTAATTAATGACCATGGATAAATGAAGATAACCAAGAGCATTTATACTTCATTAAAAAAAATAAGTGAAAATGTAGAGGATTATGTGAGTTTAAGTATTTTTTTCATTAAATTTAAATCTATAATCCCAGGACTGAGAGGTAAAATATCTCTATCTAATAACATCGCCTGCCATTTTATTTTAAGATAAAAGACAAAAGAAAAAATGAGAATTAAGATGAAGAGGCATCTACATCCTAACCACCATGCCTCTAGAAACTCTATGAACTTTTATAAGTGTCAATAATCATAGAAAGGCTTCACACCTTTTGCTCATAGGATCGCTATAAGTCATCTCAACTGGATGGTAATCAACAATAATAAGATTAATATAAGAGCAAATTTGAATAATAAATTTAATAAATAAAAGCTTTTTAAAAGTACTTAATTGCTTGGTAGAAACAGCTATGCTAAAATAATAAAATAATAAATTCTTACTTGTATTCCAGGTGGACCAGCAGGGCCTGGTTCTCCTTTGTCACCAGATGCCCCCTAGGTAGAAGACACGAGATGGTTCACTATAAAATATCCTTTCACATTTAGTCTGTGTAATTTTTATGGCCAGAGACCCTTTCTTCATTTAAAAAGTAATGACCTGAATACAGGGTATACTCTAGGCTATGGGAGTGATACAAGGTAGACACGTGCATCAGGAACTTTAATGTAAATGTTTAGTTAGTTAACTAAATAAGCATGCTTCCAAATTCCTTTGGTGAACAATGATGACATAATGCCAGAGATTACACAATTACTGAAGCAAATTACGTATTCCAAAGCAGAATTAGGTAATTCTGTCTCCACCCCACTTCTATCACTGGTGATAGCAAATGAGTAAATTTTGTGTGAGTAAACTTACAGTAGGTCCTGGGGGACCCTGAGGTCCAGTTTCACCATTCTTTCCAGGAGGACCCTAGAATAGAACAGTAGTTAGGAAAGCTGATATTAAAATGATAACAGGAAGAAATTGGAAACTGAGAGATTAATGCATCCATAGAAAGTCATTTAATGGAAACCACATACCTGAAGCCCAGGTCCGCCAGGACCACCTCGTTCTCCATTCTTGCCAGGAGCACCCTGCAGGAAAAGAGCCCCATATTTATTTATTCTCAAAAGTAATCACTAATCATATTGTTCTCTCATATTTATTATATATATGCCTCCTCCATATAAACATATACATCCACAACTCAAAGACACTTTATAGAGCTTGTTTGTTACTGCTTTGGTTGCCATCAAGTCAACACTGATTAGAGGTGATTTTCTAGAGCTGTTGTTAAGTGACTCATAGAAGGCCTATGAACAAATCAGAACCTTGGCCTGGAGATCATGTTCAAGGACACCGTATCCATCACTGTGTCAATTTATTTTATTGAGAGTTGTCGTTTTTCTCTTTCACTCAAACTGCGTACTTTGCCCTGCATGATGTCCTTTTCCAAGGACTGGCCTGTCTTGACAACATTTAATATTAAATCTTTTCCAAAGTTAGGTATTTGTGAATTTTGCAGAATTTTGGGGGATAAAGTTAACTCCTTTCTCACATATTTTGATGTTTATATATTGTCTATCCCTTAAGGGTAGAGATCAAATTTGAATCACATATGCATTCCTATATGTAAATCTAAAAGCCTTTTTCTAGTTATGGTATATTTAAGAAATTAAAGAAGAAACTCACATCATTTCCTTTAGGACCGGGGAAACCCATGACACCAGGTTGACCTCGGGGACCAGGTGAGCCTGGAGGACCTGGTCGACCACTCTCTCCTTGACTTCCCTAAAGTGGAAAAAAGGGCAAAAAGTTTTGATAAAGGTCTCACTAAAACATACAAAATTCATGTTCAAGTCTAGGCCAAAATATGCATTCACTGGTTCATTGAGTTTGTAAAATAGAATTCATAAAAAGATACATACTGCAGGGCCTGGTTTCCCATCATTGCCTGGACCTCCTGGGCTTCCGGGCATACCCTGAATTAAGTAAGATAGTCAATTAGTTTATTAATATTATATATTTTTAAAATGCTTTAAGTAAACTTACTTATATTGAAAAATAGACTTTCCATTATATGTGCAATTTTATGTCTAGACATCTTTTATTTATCAACCATCTTGGACAACTTTTCAGCTTTCAGTTCTTTCTCCATCTATCCTAGTGTAAATCTTCTTGAAACATGTTTTTCCTTCTATTTTAAGCCTTAAAAAAGTAGAGCCTAAATTGATACATTTTTGATCCACATTTATTTCTTTTATTCTTGCTATATTAATGTGTCTGTCAAACAACTGATTCACCGCACCCTCATTCCTGGAGGACCAGGTACTCCATCTCGGCCAGGTTCTCCATTAACGCCTCTGGGTCCTGCAGGGCCGGGACCACCACGCTCTCCAGCAGGACCCTAAGTAGTGAAATAAATAAGCAAATATTTAAAATAACCTTAATGAACATAGACATGGCCAATATTTAGATTACAACCAGAGAAAAATAAAATCTTTTCTTCTAAGAGTTGGTGTGTGGCTGACATAATACCACAGTTGCTGATTAACTTACATTGCCATATTGGCAAAATCTTAAAAGGATTATAAAGAATATTAGGTGTTTTGAAAAACAACATTTATTAGATCTCATAGCAATATGATTATACCTACAAAATATATTTGATTATATAAAATCATATTTGTAAAAAACTCTAAAATTTTCAAAGAACTTCAAATTATTTTAATACATAGATTCTTTTAATGCTATTGAGATAAATGGTAGCCTAGTTATGGACAATTAAAAGATTTTGAGAGGCTGACATACTTTACTTTTTAAGCTAGGAAAATGAATGAGCTAGAATACTAGTTTCGCATAAGGAATTAGCATTTTAAAAATATAACTCTAATATATATTTCTTTCATGAATTAATGTGTTAATTCATGGGAACTTTATAAAAGAAAATACTGACATGATAGTATCTGTATTTAGAAAAACTGAATATATAGTTTCTACCTTTTCTCCTGGGAGACCATTAGCGCCACCCGGTCCTCTGAATCCTGGGGGACCCTGGAAATAAAGAAAACGAAGTAATTCTACTGTAAAGTATTCAAATTTCCCCCTATTTTTTTGAGAGGCAACATCCACATGTTTTAAAATTTTTTGAAGGAATATTTGGGTTTGGATAGTCATTTTAAGAAAAATGACTGTTGACTAAAGGTGAAATATATGTGGATGACTTAGACTTTACTTTTCTTTCAAGTACCTCCAAGGTAGCATACCCTTTCTCCTGCAGTTCCTGGAAGTCCATTTGCACCAGGTTCTCCTGGAGAACCATCTTTGCCGTCTTCACCTTTAGGTCCCGGTATACCAGGAGAACCTGCTTCACCCTAAAAATACATATAAAAAGTAAATAAATGATAACTGAATTTGATTCGAATTTGCATATTTGTTTTCTAATTCTGTTGCGTTTTCCAAGACATTACAAAATACAGTGGAGAAATACTTACACGTTCACCACGAGCTCCTGGTTCTCCTTTGGCACCGTTCTTACCCGGTTCACCCTAAGTAAGATAAAATTTTGTCTTAAAATAGGAAGGACAGAGTAGCAAAATTGTTATCAGTGGCACACACTTCATTTACAAATTCAGAAAGAAATAAGAATAATTCAAGCACAAGAGGGCCTAAATAACTGCAATTTCTATATTCGTTGTGGAAATGAGTTACACCTTTTAGGCAACAAAGGAAAAAAAAATACAGGCCACTTACTGCAGTGCCTCGAGCTCCAGGAGGGCCATTTGCACCAGCTGGACCTGGAGGCCCTCGAGCTCCCATCAGTCCTGGAGCCCCCGGAATGCCGGCAGGACCCTAAAAATAAGCCAGTAACATAGACATTACTCTAACTTTCTTATCTCAAAGTCTAAGAAGTCTTAACAAGCTTATCACCGGACAAAAATGCAAAGGAAGCCAAAAATGTATGAATGCGTGAGGATGAGATGTTGAGGCAGCTTACCATTTCTCCTTTACCACCAGGACTACCATTATTCCCAGGGGGGCCCTAGAGAAAAAAGAGAATATTAATAATAACAAATGTCTTAACAAGTCTTTGTTGGAAAGAAACTTAATGGTGAACATAATGATCTGTAAGGAATAGGCGGCTTCTCCAACTATAATTCAATTTAAACTCAGCTCAGTTCTGTTGCATCAGGACCAACCCATTGCTGACCCTCCAGCAGGTTTTCAGAGGCTGTAAACCAGACAGAAGGAGATTGCCCATTTTTCTCCCACAGAGCAGCTGGTAAGTTCAAATTGCCCGCCTTTGGTTTGGCAGCACGAATCTTTACCCAGTTGGCCACCACAACTACATAATATTATGCAGGAGAAGAAAGTTCTTGTCCGAGTAAATTAGAGACACTAAGCACTTGTTCTAAATTATTAAACAACAAATTAATATAAGAACCTTATTTATTTTTTAAAAAAATCTTATTTCTTCCTTTGGTTATTCTGACTAGAAATTAGTTAGGGCACAGTCTCAAAAATGTCAGATGACTTTTGCAGCCTCCATTTTACTCTGTGCCATAGAAGCATGATATAAATATATTCCAGATGAGTCCGTACTGAGCCATTTTTGGCAGGAATTAAATTAGTATTTATCACGACTAGTAGAGTCTTTGCAGAACAGTGATAAATAGTTTCTTAAGAGGGTAATTTTAAACAACAGCAACATTAAAATACAAAAGTTACAAGTGTGGAATATTATCCTTCTCAATAGTCATATTAGCTACTTACAGGAGGACCTTGAGCACCAGCATGTCCCTGAGGTCCAGGTTCTCCTCTTTGTCCAGGGGAGCCATTTGAACCAGGAGACCCTGCAGGTCCAACTTCACCCTACAGAATAAAATAGAGGGGTAAAACAATGGTAACTATATGTATAAGCCTATATATCTTCACTTTTCCAAAAAGTGAGAGGGAAACCCCAGAAGAATCATTAGAAGCAATATCAGGAGAATGGTGATAATAAGAAACATTTTAAGATCAAGAATAGGATTTTAAAGATCTATACTATATGAAATAAATCTTTTTTCATTGATAACAAAAGTTCTTCTCAAAAGAAAGTTCAATTTGCCTTCAATATATGCTTAGATTCCTCAAGGACATAAACAAACAAAAGACCCTATGGCACTCAAGTTGATTTTGACAGGTAGTAACACTACAGGACAGAATGGAACTGCACCGTTACGTTTCCAAGGCTGTAATCCTTACAGAAGCAGATTACTGTGTCTACTTCACCAGAGCACTGGTGAGTCCAAACTGCTGAACTTTTGATTAGCAGCTAAGCAGTTTAAGTCCTGCACATTGTCAGGGCTCCTAGTCACTTGCAGAAATACATATATTTACCTTAGCACCAGGGGAACCAGGGAATCCCGCAGTTCCAGGAGGACCAGGAGGACCCTAAAAAGTGAAATACAATTTTATGAGTTAAATACAAGTCAAGAAAATTAAAGGTGACACAATGATTAATAATATATAAGCCCATATAAAATAGAACATTTTTTGTGGATAGATTATGCAGAATATCCAAAAGTATTGGCATCAAGTGACTTTTAATTACCCTAAGGGACACAATAGAATTAGCACATAGGGTTACCAAGGCTGCAACCCACTTATTTAGAAGTAGATCGCCCCACCTTTCTCCCACATAATAATAAACACTATTCATGAAGAAATACTGACTGGAGAAGTAAGGTAATAAAGAGAGAAACCTAGTTAGAAAATCTGAATTTCTCCCGATTTGTTATTTACTCTGCAATTTGTATAGATTTCTTAGGGCTGAGCTTTTCGACTGTCATCTCTAAAATAAAGATAATATTGTTGTTGTGTGCCATTGGGTTGGAAACGATCCATAGCTGACCCTCCAGCAGGTTTTCAAAGGCAGTAAAGTACATGAGAGAAGAGTGCCCATTCTTCTCCCATATAGCAGCTGGTAGCCTTTGTGATTGGATTGCAGCCTCTTAACAGAGGCCACCAAGCTTTCCAAAGAGAACATTTTAACTTACTTTTCAGTTTTCTGTTAGTTTTTATATCGAATACTTGATATGAACTAGCATGGTAAGAACCATATGTTAACAACTGGTCATCTACATTAAGGAGTGTGAGAATCTAGATTTTTATGAGTTCAGTGAAGCACTTATGAATGATTTTGAGTGTCCACAACATAAGAGAGATATATAATTTGTAATGAATAAATTTGGAAGCAGGAGTGGCATCCACTTCTTAAATAACATGCCTCCAGAAACTCTATGAACTCTATAAATGTTGATGGTTGTAGAGGGGCTTCAGGCCTTTTGTTTATAGATTCACTATGAGTCTTGCTCAACTTGATGGCAATCAACTACAACAACAACAATTAATTATTTCTCATTATCCTAGAACAAAGCAGAATTAAATTTGAAAAGTTACTTACTGGTTGACCATCACTACCACGAGCACCATCATTGCCTCGAGACCCCTACAAAAATAAAAAAAGAAGAAAATTGTTTCACACATTTTCTCAATTCTGAAACCTGTCACAGCTAAAACTTTGATAGAATTTCTAACTCAATGACTTTGAAATTTCTGAAGTACATTAAAGTATTATTAATGATAGATGTTTCCAACTGTAAAAATTCTAAACCAAATTATAATGTTCTACATAGGATTAGATGATTCTGTGTTTTAAAGAACTGAATGTGCATATGTATATCTAATAATACAAGCCATATTAAAAGAAAAGAGATACTAATCATAAAAGATGTCTTCCTATCCCTATGTTTGAAATAACAATGTTATGAATGTTACAAAAGCAATGTTTTCTTGGAGAATTCCAAAGCCTTGAAACCCCACGGAAATTTTTATATCTGTCACTTTGGGTTGTAACTAGACAATGTTGATGATAATACTCACTGCAGCTCCAGGAAGCCCAGGGCGCCCTCTTTCACCAGGAGCCCCTCTTGGACCCTATGGAGTAAAATAACAAATAGATTTTATGTTGAAGCCTATAATAAGAGTTTATTTGTGAGGAAGGATGTTAACAGTAAAACTGAAAATGTCAAGGCACGAACATATTTACCATTGGTCCAGGAGATCCATTTTCACCAGGAAGACCATTTTCACCCTAGAGAGACAGGAAATATACTATTGTTTTGTGCTGGAGAGATAGAATTTTCTTTTAGCACAATATATTGCAAAGAGATTAGTACAGAACGGAAAAGGTTGATGTTAACAAATCAAATTTTTTATCACATTATAAAAGAAAAAAATATCAGTTCCTGCATTTTAGTAATTTTAAGGACTATCTAGAAAGTACCAGTGGTCTGTACTGGGATTTTCACTAGATTTTACTTGGACACTACAATTTAACTTTCATTGAAACTTTAGTAGAATGTCTCAATTTATCATCAATATTTACCTTCTAGAGGATAAATTCAGGTGAATTTAAAAAAAAGTTAAACTCTAAACCATGACTTTAAAATATAGTTATATTATTAATAAACTAATGAGTTTGTGAAAATGTAATTTTCTTTTCTATTACCTTTAATCCAGGAGCACCTGTTTCACCCTTTTCTCCATTTCGTCCATCAAAGCCCTATGAAATACATGAAAAATTGGTTAAAAAAACCATTATCTGTTAATGATATAGAATGGCTCATAAACTCTAGGCTCAATCTTCCAAAACTGATTTTTAGTACCTAGAAAAATTTTCAACATTAGCATAAATAGTTTAAGATGTTTTTAAATGGTTGAAAGGTGTTTGACATTTATAGCAAAAGGGGCTAGAACTTAGTCCAATTGGCAAACTGCTTCAAGTATAGAGCAGATAAGTATAAGCACATAACCTTTAAAGGTCTTTTCTATTTTAAGTTGCTAGGTTTTGATTCCGTTGATTGAATCTACTTGATAAATCTACAATAGAATAAAGTTGCCTAGATTCAATGAAAAACAGAGTTGTGTGTATGTATAAATGCAGCTTGTTATTGTTTATTGTCATCCAGTTCAACCCGACTCCTAGTGACTCTATAAACAAAAGTCCTGAAGCCTTTCTATAACTATTGTCGTTTCTCCAAGTTTACAGAGTTTCTTTTCCAGAGGCATGTTGTTTAGGAAGTGAATGCCACTCCTGCTTCCAAACCTGTCTTAAACTGGGAGCTCCACCAAACACTATCCACCATGGGCAGCCATTATCACATTTGACCCTCAGTGGCACAAGTTTCAGCATCACAGCAAACCCAGATTACCTCAGTGCAGCAAATTGACAGAGGAGTGCTGTACCACTTAGAAGGAAAATGTAGCTTGGTAAAATAAAATTCACAGAATTTTATTTTTCTACAGAAATGTTGTAAAATAGTTCAAAGATTAATCATATGAATGAAATAATTTCATTAAGAAATCAATTATCTTTGTATAAAAGAAAATAAAGTGACCATTTTGGTGACATACTAGATTATTTCTCAAAATTAGTTAGGCACATAAACCCAGATAAGAGAACTCATAGTCAACTTAAAGCTGTACTTACTCTGTGGCCTTTCATACCGGGGAACCCAGGCATGCCAGCAGGACCTTTGAGACCCTAAAAAGAATTAATAGTAAAAGTAGTCATCAACCTGCCAACAGAATTTTAATCTAGTAGTAAAATATCTGCTTTTTTAAATTAATTTCATTATATAACAATTTTTAAGCTACGCTAGTTATTATTGCTCCAAGTGGTTTCTTGGATGATTGAGACTTACTGGAGGTCCCGGCAGCCCTCGCTCTCCAGTTCTCCCAGGTCTTCCTGATTCCCCCTGTGTGGAAGAATAGAGAACGTACAGGGGGCTTACATCTGAGAAAATCCATCACTGACAATTAGGGAAAAATTCATGTTGCTTTTTTCTGGTCAGTGTCTCATGAAGAAAGTTGGACTAAAAATAAAATTACTAGGTTACTTTTTCATAGAAGTAATGCGGACATGTATAAATGGAAAGATAAAGCTGATATCTCACTTTGATTATTAATATGATTATCTATCGAGACAATGAAAAGAATTTGCCAACGGAAATGAAATAAGAAAACATAATAATAATGATCTTTAAAAACTTTCAAGTTCTTAAATTTTGGTATGGATTTCTTCTTCATAAGAGCAAAGAGGGGGAAAAGTTATATTTGCTCCATTTTATATTCACTGGCTAAATCTTCTTCACTGGTTAAATCTTCTTGAGTAACAGCACATTTGAGGGTTCTATTTAGTCTAGAATTCAATAAATGGTAAAACTAGCTTTGAGAATATAATACAAATGATCAAAGGTTAATTTAAAAAAGCTAAAATGTGATAATCATACCAGCGATTTTCTGAATAAAATTTCCCTCTGAGATTCTGAAAACCAATACCAGCTATTTAAATAACTCCATGTGAACTCTGTTGTTACCAATATTTATCCTTACAAACTTACATCTTTTCCAGCAGGGCCAGTTGGACCAACAGCACCAGGAGGTCCTGGAGGGCCCTGAAAAATAAGGAAAAAATTTTAAAAATAACACCACCACCAAAACAAGACCAACATGAAATATATTTGTAAGCTTTCCTGTTATTTCAACTTATTATTACTTATTTTGTTAACACACTTAGAAAGTTATATAAAATATATTTCATGTTGTTCATTAACACTCATGTACTATCATTCCTATATGTAATATTTATTGCTTATTAATCTTTTAAAATGTGTATTAAAGCATCCTGTATGTATACTTTATAAATGTGCATTTATAAATCCATGTACTAAAAACCTATATTTCTAAGTATCTTGAAACATTACAAGAAACCATACTTGCTTTTTTACGCTATGTATCCTCTTGGAGGATGCCATTAATTTATGCTTATTTCTGTCAAATTAAGCTTAAAAATAATACATCAGAAAAGTAACTATAATGGTGAATTGAGTGGTTAGAGGGAAAATTCTACATTTAATAGAGAAAGGGTCTATATTAAAACTGGGAGATGAACTATTATGGTGGCTAATAAGTCAGGAAATTGAGTAGTGAGTATCTCCTAAAGATGTACAATATTTAAAAAAACTCAAAAGGTCTTGTAAATTAGTTCAACTATCACAGAAATGATATTTATTTTTTTAACATTTATTCTACTTTTGGAGCGATATATAGCTATATTTTACAAACAGAAAGTGTTTACTATATGGAATTTTTTTTCTCTCTTTTTTTAAATTAAATACAGATTTAATCATTACTTACTGCAGGACCAGCTTGTCCAGGTTCACCAGGGGGACCTTGGTATCCAGGAGAACCCTAAGATTAAATAATAAGTGAATATTTTGAAGGTGATATAGTGTTCAGATATACATTTCCATTTCAAAAACAGTAAGAAATCAGGATTTGTGAGTGTAAGTAGCAAACTTAATTGCAGTTTCTAAAGACTGACTTATTTTTTTATAATAAAATTAATTTATTCCAGTTCATTCCATTGTGTTAACACGTTGCCACAAATGACTGCAAATATGTTTCTAGGCACAGTCTTCAATTTACAAAGTGTGTGGCAACGTGTTAAATTGAAAATGAATGTTTCAACCTGAAGCCGTATAACATGTAAATAAAAAAGAAAAAAGTGGCTTAACACAACCAAGGTTTTAATGATTAGCACTCATTAATGAAGAGTATTAAAAATATCATTTCAGCACCTTTAAAGGAATGAGGGGTTTTTTGGTTAGACTTTATTCATGTTGAGAATAGAAAAATAAAACAGGCATTTATATTACTGGGTACAGTAAACATGAGAAAGAAAGCACCACTAAGGGCTATACTTACAGGGGAACCAGGGTGACCAGATGTACCAGGGGGACCAGGAGGGCCTGGGGGGCCCTGGAATGCAAATTTACATAATTAATACAAAATAAAGGCATTTGTAAGATACTTTATTTATACATCAAAGATAAACTATCAGGAATAATATTGACATCTTTAATAACTATTCAGTATTACTTATTTGAGTTCTACAAAGATGGTGTCACTAAGAACTTATTCCTAAAATGAAATTTCCACAGATATTTAAAAGGGATATATGATTAGGTATTATTGTCGTGACAGGAGTCCAGAACAAAGGCTGCATAGTGGAGTGGACTTTGGGGGTGGAATTGTATAATAATGAAAGAATTTTTCTTTTACTTTTCAAAGAGAAGAGTGAATTGAGGGGAGCAGTGGGCAGGGAGAAAAGTGCAACAATGAATGAATGGAAATCCAAAGTCTCTGTAAACTTTCATTTAAATTAATTAAAAAAATTAAAAAATATTCATAATGCTTTAAAACATTGACATGAATTTCTTAAAAAGGTGGTACTTTAAAATATGAAATATGAAAGATTTCCATTTAAAATTCTATGAGAATCTCTGCAAAATGAGGATAATACTGACACTTGTGAAGAATCAGTATTTCACCTGGCAACTAAATTTAGTGTGGAAATAATGTTTATCTACTTTTTCATTAACCAAGTATTCCAAGTTTCTAAAGGCATTGGGGGAAAGCAGAATATTCATTACTATACTGATAGAAATACCACAGAATTATATTAGTATAGAGATTTCATAAATAGAATAGCGCTCACTTGTAACTGCTTGCTTTCTCATTGTCCAAAAATAGAAATTAAACTAGAAAATCTTTAATGTTACAGTATAGAATTTTATATACTGATAACCAATTTATAAATCAACAGTTTGTTATTAAATATTGTCTTGTAATTTCTTTTCCTGGATAAGAAAAAGTAGTAGTGCATAATGGTATAGAGCATCATGTACTTCTAACTGAAAGGTTCGATTCCACGAGCCACTCCCAGGAAGAAAGAAAGGCACTTTACTCTTGTTATGATTTTTGGCCTTGGAAGCTTGATAGAAGATCACGGTAATGTTGACTGAAGACAATGAGGTTAGAGTGGAATTTTTGTTTTGTCTTTTAAAAAATGTAAAGCTAATTTGAAATATACGATGAATAATAGGAATATTTGTTCATTTTTGTTCTTTGGTGTGCTAAACCTATTTTTGCTTAAATGAATATAATTCTCTCTGGATTAGAAATAGAAAAAAAGGGGAGGGAATCACAACCCTTAAAATGATAGAGGTTTGTGAAGTTTTTTATTCTAATTTAATTTACAAAATTTCTTTAAATGGTTATTTTGATCTATTGGCTATGATTTTGTCCTAATAATTTTGGAAATCGTAAATAAGAGAATTCAGTACTATTATTATGTTTTCATTTACCCTTGTATACATCACTACTTACAGTGAAATTTTTCACCTCTATCATCAATTTTTATAAGAGGTTGTGCTATAACAAGGGCCATTTACATGAAATATTGTATTTCATGTGCATATTCCCTGGTTAAGATACTTTTTGATATTTCTTTTATCAAAATCCTAGTCCATTTAAACTGATGGAAACCCTTTTAATAAAATATAAATATCTTCTACTGATAATAGGTGAAGTATTGAAGACTCAAAATTCTTGAAATATTTATTTGACTTTAAAATTTGAAATAAAACAGATTATTATACTTGATATTCATCACTTGCATAATTATCTAGAAATCAGTGTTTTATATATGGGAAACAAAAAAGAATTCTGAATGACTTAGCTAAAAAAAAAATTAAAATGAAATTTAATTTAAAGATAAGAACTATACAAGTGTATGGGACATAAGCCTGAAGGCTGGTGGATCCTTAATAAAGGTAGGTGGTTGTTCAAGAAAGAAGGAATGGCAAAATAGTCACGGAAATACAGGTGTTAGTTTAAAAAATGAGTTATGAAGCAAATAAACATAAAATAAAAAAATAAAGTTGTAAAAAAAGTAAAGTTGAAGGAAGAACACAATGATGCCACCATTTGCATATCATTGAAGACTGTTTTATACAATTTCATAACAATATTGTATTCCTAAATGAGCAACTATTGAAGAGTTAATGAACTAAAATATTGTTAATATTTTAACATTAGAGTTAATGCTCTAAAATATTGAGAAACATTTGTACATACAGCTGGTCCAGGATATCCTCCCATTGCTCCTCCACCACCAGCCTTGACATCATATGAATCAAACTGAGGAGAATAGTTCTGTACCAAAGATATCAGACAGACATATGCTTCAGAATATATTGATCATGGTTCTTTTCAAAAGCATTTAAATAAGTGCATATAATTTTAACTGACAGTGTCTGCATTCCAGAAGATGTAGCATGTTTGGGATGAATATTTTTAAAGTTGTTTATTCTCTAGCTTTAGGTATTAGCTATCTTACAGAAATACAATTTGTTCAACCAACTTTATGCAGTGTGACTTCTAAATAATCTCTTTCTACTACTATTTCTAAGCAATTCTTTTAACATATAAACTTAGGCTCATTGACTGAGCTTAAGTGAACCTTGAGATCATACAATTTTCTCTTTTTGAACAACAACAAAATGGATGTGTTCTATGACTTTCCCTTATGGTCAATGGTACAAGTAAATTCCATGTGTCTTGACTTCTTTGTGTGAGTGTGTGTGTGTGTGTGTGTGTGTATATGTGTGTCTTGACTTCTAATCTATGTAATTCACTCCAAAAGTAAATGCCCTATAGAGAAACAGAAAGGCTGAAATTTTTACTGGTTTTCATTGGAACATATGTTCGGTTTGGGATCTAGAGATAGATTTTTTTTTTGTTATCAGGATAAGAATTAATTAAAAGATATCCTTAATTCTTGATGATTGAATTTTGAAAAGCTTTTTATTAAATGGAGATTGGTGTGGATGGTGTTTTTTAATTTCTTTTAATTCCATGCAGTACAGATTTCCTTTTTATATATGTATTTCTGTGTAGTTTGCAAGCAGTTAGTTGGTTGCATGCTATTCTGGACAAACAGGTTGTACATTGAAATCTTTTCAAAGTAGCTATGTAGTAAGAAGAAGTCAGCAAACACAGTGTTTCAACTGCTGTTTATGCAAACATTGAGAAGCTTTACCTTCAGAGTCAGAAAGGAAATAGAGGACAGGGTAACAATTTCTAAATTCTCTAGGTTACTGTTCCTGTTTGGAATTGAGGGTTCATTTCTCAACTGGATCATCTTCTGAGAAGTTAAGAGATTTTGCAAAGATATAACAATAAAACTATTACTATTATAAATAGAAGGATTTGAAATGTACTTGGGACCTTGCATATATAAGCACTAAATAACAATTTGCTAAACATAAAATACAGAAGCAAGCGATTCAACAGCATATAACAACAACAACAAACAAAATTAGAAAACCCACAACTGTGAGATATAATACACACACACACTCACACAAGTGTGTGTGTAAAAGAAGAATAATCCATTAGTTTTAAAAAGGTATCATTTTGTAGTTTATTACCTGACCACCACTGGGACATGACTGACAGATTCCAGGTGCACCAGGAGGACCAGGCAAACCTGGTTGTCCGGGAAGACCAGGGTCACCATTTCTCCCCGGAATACCAGGAGGACCCTAGTTAGAGAAATAAATCAATAATCAAATAAATAAATAAATCACAGATTAAAGAAAACCCAAACAGTAAAAAGCTCTAGTAATTCAGAATCATTATTAGATTGAAGCTTCTCTATTAGAGAAAAATCAATAAAAGTGAAAAAATATAAATAATGCCTTTTATAACCACTTCATATGACTAATTTTATTTGTATTTCATTCTTTTTTACTACTGACTTCTGTTTTTCATTTGGACTATGAAGACAGAGAAGTACATAACATTTGGGAAATTTAAATCTATACATATACAATCTGGGACTCTGTAATTTTATATCTTTATACTTTATATGATACTCAAACAAGTATGTCAATTTTGAAAGTTCAAATCTGTGAGAAAAATAACAAGAAAGATAAAGAAACTATTGGAACTATGACTAATATGCATTGCATTACATCTCATTTCACTAAAGAATATATACTTACTGGATCTCCCTTCGGGCCTTGAACCACCTGGCCATTGGTAGGGCGAGTAGGCTAAAACGTGGAAAATATACAGATTAAAGTAGATAAAATAACAAATGACCATGAAATTTACCCTAAATTCATATTCATATCTTAATCCTAATCACATTTAACCTCTAATTCTTTAATTCAAATGTTCACTTTTTATTTGTAATATAATGTGATTGACAGACATGGCATATTCTTCTTAGGCTGCTAATATGAATAATTTAACAGTACTTGTATTTTTTATAAAGAACACATCCTTAAGCAAGGAGAAAAAACATTCCTAAAATATATAACATACTGGGAGTCACTGGATTTTAACCTGTATTTTCTATTACTCATTTTCTTACTGTAAGTCCAACTCTTCAGCCCATGAGATTTTTCACAGGAAAGATATTTATGCTGTCCAAGATCTAGACATATCAGTTTTGTTGTTAATATATATTGAATGAGATATGTTATAGCACTTACAAAAAGTAATATCTCACTTATTGTAGGTGAGATAAAATATTCAGTTAGAAACTTGAAAAATAGTAAGGCATATATTAAACACATATTTGAGATACAATTTTAGCTCTATTAAAATAATTAAATAATATGAAAAGAGAATACACTACAAACATTTGCACATAATTTTGTTCAAGTTCTTGGAATAGTTTAAAGGGGATATTTATCTGGGCTATTACAAGATGTTCAAAGTAGTCATAGTCAGTGACCCAGCATTACTTAGTATATCTACCTTGCTCTTTTTAAATTTTTCTTGTTGAGAACATGCCAAAGGGAATACAATATTTGTGTTACTATGTTATCTTAGTTGGTATGATTCTTTAGAATATAAAACACCTTATCCAATGCTGTTTAAAGTAATGTCAATGGAGTCAACTTGAGCTAATACTGTCTTTCCCAGGCATTTCAAAATTTAATTAGGGAAGAAAATATCTTACTCAGCAAAATTTTACTCATAAGGTTGGTGTCCCAAATGGAATATAAAATGTCTTTTACATCAGACATATTTGCTAAATAACTGTGATGATTAATATTATTATGAAGAGATACATACATTATGCATGACTCCAAGTACTGGTGGAATTATTTATAAATAAGTAACATAATGAAAGGATAAACTGAGGCAAAGATTGTTAAATGATCAAAATATGATACAGAAGTTATTCATAGGAATATATTTGTCTTGAAGGTTTGACATTTTTTAAAACAAAATCTTACAGTTATTGGAGGTTGTGGACAAACTGCACAGCATTCTCCAAATGGGATCTCTGGGTTTGGACAGTCTAAATCTTGGTCGTCACATATTATTTCATCACAGAGAACAGATCCTGAGTCGCAGACACATATTTGGCATGGTTCCGGCTTCCAGACATCTCTATCTGCATAGCTCTGACCAAGATGGGAGCATGCTCCTTCAACAACTAGGAAAGAAGTTAGATGGTGTGATGCTTTTTATAGGTTTTGCTAAAATTCTATTTTAAATTTTAAATTATTTTAAAATTCTTCCATGACTATGTGCAGCAGCTAATTTACAGTCATTCTCTTTTTAATTTGAAAACAAGTATTTTCATTTTTCCAGTAATGAAGATATATTCACAAAGACATTTCTGTTAATTCTGAGGTAAGAGATGAAATATTGCAAGAACATTCACTTTAAGAATATATAAGTTTCTGTTAATTCTGAGGTAAGAGATGAAATATTGTAAGAACATTGACTTAAAGAATAAATAAGTCTCTTTTATTGGTCAAGTAAAGGCTCTGGGGTGTCCTACTGGTAAGAAGCTGCATTGCAATCCCCAAGGTGAGCAATTCAATTCCACCTGCTGTTGTGTAGGAGAAAGATGGGCAATTTCTTGTGTGATTTACTGCTTCTGAAAACCCACTGGAAGGCCAATTATGAGTCAGTTCCAACTTGAAGGCATACAACAACAGTGATTTAACTTTGTGGTTTGGATTCCATTTTGTTGTAAGTAGAAAAAGACAATTTTCATTTTATATATAGTGATTTCAAAAGGCTTGCCTGTTTTGTTGTTTTTTTTTTTTAGAATTTATATTTCTAACATATTTCTTGGAAATGCTCAAAGACTCAGAGCCATCATTTACGAATATTCAGCACACAGACTAGGTATATACTTAAGTTATGACTACACACAAATTACACTTTTAAGCCCAAAATGTCAAACCAGAGATATTTTTTTTTCTTACATAGTTTACCTTGTTGTAAATCCTAGATCTGTTTATTTAATTCACCAATATTTGAATACCATGTAAACTTTTTTCAAGACCAAAGGTATTTTAATTTTGTGTCTTAGTAAGAATTTAAGACCAATCAACATAATGCGAGTACTTTGACATACATCTATTGATTGTATTGAAAAGAAATCTTTCTACCCAATTAATATTCTTTGTTTTAACAGAAGATGGAATCATTAAACAAAAAGATACGGTTGTCTCCAATTCAGAGAAGTTTATGGATTTTATTAACCTAGCTGATACACTCAGGGGAAAATTAGCCTACTATTGGCAGAATAAATAAAAAGTATTTTCAAATATTCCTGGAGAAACATTAGCAAAGCTATGTATAGTTCTCTGGGCAATAATAGCTCATTTACTATGGGATTGTATATTTCATATTACATATTGATATAAAAAGGTTTTCAAATAATTTTTTAAAAAGGAAAAAGGAAAACAAACATCTCTTTTTTCCTTTAAAAGAAATACATATTGGCATGAAATAAGTAAAAATAATAGGGAAAAATATGAATCAGTACCATACATATTTGTGGCTTAAAATGGTAAAAAACTTGCTTCCACCAAGATTTTAGAGTTGCTTTCTAATTATATGTTAGGTCCTGAAATTTCAGCAGCTATTAACAATGAATCAGCTTAGAGTTTGCCAGCATAAAACCTGGTATCAATTCTTAAGGCATTAGCTGTGGATTGTGGTTAAATACAATTTCAGTTCTTAAAGATTATTGTGATAGCTTGCCAGTATTTGAATAAATAATATATCTAAACATCTGCAAAAATTTTTGCAAACAAAAAATGGCATACTGTCCAGAACTTTCATGAAACAGTGAAATTATATTTTCGCAAAGACAAGATCTTTGAAATATCTGGTGAAAGAGGCCTCCTTAACAGGAAGAAAATGGTTTAACTACAGCTTGTGCTGCATTGAAGCCAAAAGGCCTTTGAATGGATTCTGATATTTTTTTCTCCTCCAACCTGGATATTACATACATAAGGCTTGCCTTTTAAAAGTTCCTGTTTCAATCTTCTCTCACTGATTAATGTTTTGTGTGAATATTTTTGGTTTAAATGCTTAGATAGTGTAAGTAATATTCAGAAGGAAAATAATTTCAGGACCTACAGACTCTATAAAGAACTAAATTGGACTTGATTTCCTATTTCCATTTATGTGGGTAGAAATAGCTTTAATGACCTTGTGCAATATTCTCAGTTGGTTCAGAAAGTTTAAGGGCCATTCATGTTCTGTGTTACAATTTCCCAATGTGTTTTGTATGTAATAAAAGAGAGTTAGATTGCTTTACTGGAATTTTAAATATATTAGAAATAATCTGTTTATTTGGTAATGTTCGTCTAGTGTTTCTTCCATGTTTAAAATAAATTAGAACATTTGCATAATACATTGTTTAAGCTTTTAAGAGCATTCCTTTGTAGTTATGAACATAAAAACTGAATGCCAAATGCTTACTTCAAAGCAAGAAGACCTATTAGAATGTAGCTTTGCAAGATGATTTTAATAAAAAAGTGTTTCTTTATATTCTATGTCTGATAATTTTAACAGAGTCTGGGCAATTAATTTATTCTCCAAGGAAAATTAAAATTTAAAAACTACATAGATTGATTTGCAGAAAAGGTCTACTTAAAACCTACATTTTGGTTTGCAGAAAAGGCCTGAAAATTTCATAAGAAGGAAGATTATTTAGTAAAATTTAAGTATACTCATTGATTATTGCTGTGCTCCTTCTTTAATCTACTTAAAAATCTTCAATTCATTTATGTGAAATGTTCTTGTAGATTAATTTGTTCTCATTAATAATCTGAACTTAAAGTTTCTCCTCACCCTTGATAATATCACTAGTTTAAATCAATTATATCTACAGTTTTGTCTCTGGATCAGAAATTTCTCTAAATTTACATATACCTGTGCTATAAAATATCACTGTTGAATGCTTATGGCACAGTAGAGATAAATGAGGGTAGCAGTTAAAGCTAAATTCAAGTATTTCATTTTTAAAATATCTCCTCTTCCTATGTCTCAAATGTTAGAATGACCTTAAACCATTTATTTTCTGTACATTTATCTTCCTGTGCTTATGTCTTTGTCATTATATCACTAGTTATACTGGGGTTTTCATTTGTCTGTAAATTATTAAAGACATGAACACAACCCTTTTTTATTAAAAAATTACATACATTTATTATGATTAATGTATATATGATCCTATACAAATAAAAATTGCTGTTTAGCCTCTTAACAACTCATTAGAAATCACATAGTTGGCAGGTTTTTTCTCCAACCAAAGAGCAAACATTATTATAAAGGCTGAGGTAGTCTAGTGCACTTTTCTTTTTTTAAAGTTTTTATTCTTAGAATAATATTTTTTAGTTCACTTGCTAGTGATGTTAATAAGATGTATGATTTGTTTTACTTTCAACAGTAAATGTCCAAGCCAAAGAAGAAAATTGGATTGCTTGAAAAAGAACAATTATTTCCGTTTTATTGGCATGTTGTTGTGTGCATCAAGTCGGAATCAACTCAAATCTGACTGTCCAGTGGGTTTTCAGAGGCAGCTAATCATAAGGGAGGAGATTTCCCATCCTCCCGTGGAGGCCCTCGTGGATTGGAACCGCATGTCTCTGTATGCAATGCAGCTTCTTACCACTAGGACCCCAGAGAGTTTATTTCACAGGCATTTGGGAAGAAATTTGGCTCTCCTCAAAAGTCGGCGTCTGTAGCAACCTGTGAATGAAAATCAGAACTTTTTGGTTTTCTTAAATTTCTATTGCTCCACTTCAATCACCCTTGTAGATATAAAATAAAATAGAGAATCTTGTGCAGTTCCTAAACACATTGGTATGTTCTTGAAAAAATATCACTGGACAGCAAATTCTACAGGTATCTAAACATTCTGACAAAATGTATTATGGTTCTTGTATGCATGGAAAATCAAGATAGAGTAAAGAAGAGAATGTTTTCTTTGCAAGAAGAATAACTTTTTCTAAGGTTTTGTGGTATTTTGAAATGGATGGAAGAGCAAATGGGATCTAGAAATATTGCCATTTCATATTTTCCCTATCTCTTCTGGGATATCAGCATTGTTGAGAAACTTAAGCATACATAAGTTATAAAACTTTTTACAGTAATACTATTTAGAAGGTGCAAATAATCTCATTTTATTATGTAAAAATAGAATTTTAAGTTACTCCTTTTTTATTATTCAAACTAAATTTCCTTGTTCCAATTTGCAGATAATTTTTAGTCCATCTCTCATGTCATTTTGTGTTTTGGTCCCTGTTGCAAAACACAATTCAGAAATAAATGTATAAGTAATGAATAAAACAATAAAGTAACGAATTAAACAAAATTATCTCCATACTGGGCATATGAGATAAAATTAACTGAGTATATGACATAATACACTTTTATTGGTTTTTACTTTCCATTTCTCTTTTTTTCAGTACTTTGGAAAAAAATAAAACCAAGAAACCTAATCCCCGGTGTTTAGATATTCTTAACACATTATCTTTGCTGTTGTTGTTTGCATTATTCATGTATTTCTTTAGGTTAACTTTATAGATTATTTTTTCTGTTGTAACTAAAATCAGATTATGCTTGTTTTGGGCCATTTTTGAAGTAAAAATAATATTCTTAAAACATTCAGTTCAACCTTTCATTTAACTTCAGTGACAACTCCCTCCCCCCTCTTCTTTTTGAAGACTTCTCTGGGAAAGATGTTCTTTAATCTGAAAGTCTAAAAGTAAGAGATAAAACAAATTATCATAACATTACATTGGAAAGTTGAATATTTTCTACGTATAGTTATATAGAATTCAGAGTTTCCAATTGAAATATGTTTTACTTTATGATTATACTAATGCCTAGAGAACATACATTTTTATTAAATATGGTTTTACTTATGGGTTGGAGTATTTTATAATATATTAGATAAGATAACAGAAAATATTTTGAAGGAAATATTCATAAGTCTATGTAGATAAACCTTTTAAAAAAATTTTAAAGTGCTATTTTACTTGAACAAGAGAGTCTGCTTATTCTTGTTCTCACCGAAAAGAAAAAAATAAATTATCATTTCTAGATGTTTCTGTCTTCTGTTTTACAGATACAGACTGTTTATAATTCTAATTAATTTACTTGTAATTAATATTTTATCCT